GTCATTCATTTTTATTTTAAAAGAAAGCTTTAAATATAAAAACCCAGTTATTTTATTTCTTTAACTTGGTCAGAAAAAAGAAAAACCCCCCCATTTATAGATTAAAGTTTGTAGGATTTCTTTTTTTGTTTTGATGTTGGAAAAAAATAAAGGGAATTGCAAAACCCCATATTTTCCCTCTTGTAGTACATTTGGCCCCGTTTGACGCAGGTTGCTAATTTTAGGGCACTCCCAAATTTATAGGGAATTGTGATACCCGTGTTTTATTTTGATGGGAAAGGATTTAGAAGACGGCAACTTCGGGTTGAGTATGTTGCAAACATTTTACGGAAAAGAACTCTGATTTAATGTTTTTAAGTTTTAAAACTTTTAACTCACATAATCTAAGTTTAATCATACCCAGTCTGTTTTTTTAAAATAATTTTTTATGTAGTTCACCTGAAGTATATTTTTAAAAATTTTTATCAATTTAGATAATGACAGGAATTACTTTTTAAATTTTAAAAAAAACTTAAGTTGAACTTTTATTGATTGCAATAAAATATGAAAAGGAAATTTTTGTAATAAAAAGGGGTGCCACGAGAAACTATTTGCAGGGGTTGCTAACTTAAAAAGATTTCTCCTAAAAATTTCTATGTAAATAGGGAGATAAGCAAAATAGAAAGAAAATTTTGGGCTTGTTTTAAGCAGTTATTTAAAAGTCAAGAACCCCCACAATGGCGCTAGTGTAGAAATGGCACATTTATGGATAGTAAGTTCATCTAAAATAGTGTAAATCACGATAATTTTGAACGAATTTTCACGTATTTTTTGGGCAATGGTGGATGCAGCTTATAAAATTTTTTAGCTTTAAGTCCGTATGTACAAGTCTGGAAAAATTTAAAAACAAAAATTTTTATGTTATTCTTGACAGAAAAAAAAAAAATTTGTTTAATTTCTTTTTGTAAGGGCATGTAGCTTGTGTTAGAAGTTTTTTAATATTAATGTATGGTGGATAATCCCATTAGTGTATTAGAGGTTACCCCTTTTTTCCCCTTTTTTTTAAAAATGGCGGGAATTGTAGCCCGGGTCGCTGGCGGGGGAAATTTTATTTTTCTCTGAGTATAAAAAAGCTTCGGGAAGTGTCCCCTACGATTCGAATTTTTTTTATAAAATGTTATATTTTCAGGTTTTGGGGTTTTGTTTGAATGTAAAATATTTTGACAATTTGATATTTAAATGTAAAAATAAAAAATAAAATACTTAAATGTTGTTTTTATTTCGCACGGGTGACGGGTTTTAAAAGGCCCCCCCTCGCCGCTTTCTACTGGACCCCCCTAATTTGCTGGGTCCCCCGCGACACAGGATATTTAATTAATATTTCCCTTTTGTGGAGTTGTATTTTTTAAAAAAAAAAAAAATAAATTAAGAAAAAGGGATTTACTCTGAAGAAAAACGGGAAAATTTTCGGCTTTTTTCAGATTTATTTCTTTTAGTTTTTCCACTAGATCACTAGCCAACGACGCCAATCTTTTTTTCTGAGCGAGTGGATAAAGAAAATGAGGAGAGTTGGTTGAGTTCACGCTAAGTTCTTAGGAAAAATGGGCAAATTTCTAAAAATCAGAGTTTTTAAAATTATTAATATTGTTTAAAGGGATAAGCCTGCCCAAATAAGACCAATTTAATGTGTGATTTCTAATATACAACAAAAAAAGTACAAAAAAAAAAAAAAACATAGTTTTTAGTTTTAAAAAGGGGTTTAAAAATTAATCTCATCAAAATCTCATGAAAAATTGAAGGAGTACCGTTTATTTGGTCGAAATGAGAGTATTATTACGGGTATTGTGTGCATTTTGTAATGAGGTTATTTCTATTTATTGGTGAAGGATATTTTTTGGTTGAAGCCTTGACCTACTACGCGAATGTTGTTTCTGTGTATTTTTATTTTTCTACTTGGGATATTTTATATTTTTACTGCGCTTCTTACACATTCCGTATTGCAAGTATAAGTTCTTTTTTATTATTTAAAAATTTTTTTCTACTTGGCAATTTTATATATTTTTTATGCGTATCTATACACATTCCGATGGCAAGTATAAGTTCTTTTTTATTATTTGTATTTATTTTTTAAAGGAAAGTTTTACTAAATGGAAATACCAGGCTTCTAAAAAAACTTTAAAGTTGGGTTTTTAAACGCCCGGGTTTTAGGTACAAATCAGATAAATTTTTGGTAGCAATCAGCACAAAACAGCTGAATCGTCGCTATAAATGAAACTTGGTTTCGGAGTGGTGAGAGGCACGTGCCCGCCAGCGGTTCAGATCGATTCGCGAAAAGGGCGTGGCGGTGGGGTAGGCCCTTTTTTAAGAGTGGCCTTTCCGTAACCACTTTCGGGGCCCCCAGTTCACCGGTCGTTGAACGCTGGGAAGAGTTTTAAAGTAAACATAACAGAGTATTTTAGGGACAGCCTATAGACCGCCATGGCTCGATACGAATGTCTTTCGAATGCTATTGGATTTTATTGGTGCTTATCAAATTACGACTTTTAAAATTATTTGGCGATTTTTTTTAAAATTTATTTAAATAAAAAACGATACGAAGACAAAATTTATTTAAAAATATTTTTAGAGCACTGGATTGACACAAGTAGTCTCGGATCCGACTCATTTTACAAATAGTAGTAATTCCCCAATTTATATTTTTTGCTAAGCGCACCTGACGTAGTGTTTTGTGGATCGGAGGCATAACAGGGCACGCATTTATCACTGCTGTTTTTCAGGGTTCCCGGTCTGGGGCCCCTTTATTTATTTTTTTATGTGACATGGTGAAAAAATGATTAAATTTCAAATTTCAATTTATGCTGACGATGTTTTTAAATATACTACTTTTAAGCCAACGAAACCTAAAGCAGTGGATAGAATTAATGAAGATCTAAAAATATATATAACGGGCTTTGAAAAATTCTTGTTTTCTTTAATCGAAAAGACTAAAATTTTTTTATTAGGGTTCTAAGGATCAAGTGAAAAAAATAGAGCTTAGACCCTCAAATACAAATTAAGGGTTTTCCGTTAAACCCTTTTGCTAGAAGGGCCCGGAATTTGGGGTTAGTTTTGGGCGAAGAGCTTTGGTTTGAAACATTATATCTGTACGTAGAGGAATTTTTTTTACCGGCTTAAATTGTTACAGAATTCGCGATTACAAAGTAGACCGGTATACCCAAATTTTGTGACCCCTAGTGTTATCGAAGATTAATTTGCGATGTGTATATGGCCCAGGCTATTAGCTAGAACGTTAGTTTTAAAACAAAGAGGCAGAACGCGTGTGGCGCCCTGCTTTAATATTTCCCAAAACGAGCCCCGTTACACCATATCTGAACGCAGCTGGTATTTAAAGATGCAGCGGCGGAGGGAGCTTTATTTAGTACACTTTTATTTGGGCTCGCAAATATAAAAACGCCAAAAAATTTTTACCAAACTAGACTGGAGGGTGTGGGCAAAAAGTACAGTAGAGAGAAGGGTTGCACACTACACATCCAGACACCCGAACAAAAAGGTTCAGAGGGGAGCCCGGATAGTGCAACAAAAAAGCGGAATAATTTGCCACCCCACTCCCCAACCTTGTGAGTTTTAAAACTTTTAAATCAAAAGTAAAGTATTTCTTTGGGGCCGTAAAAAAAAACCAGCCCCTTGTAATTTTAGAATTAGTCCTGCAAATTGCTAACAATTTTAATAAATAAAAAAAAAATTGTTTTTTTGCCTTATATCTAAAAAATTCCAACAATAGTTTTTGATATCTTATTAATTAACAGAATGTATGTTATGTAATTAATGATGTAATTTTCACTTTATTTTATGTTTTTTTGTATTCACATATTTTTTTATTTAAAATTTAATGTGACACGTCCCTGGGGGGTACCTTGGGTTCAGTGAAAATCGCGCTGTGGTAATTTTAGGGGCTATAAAAAAGGCGATTGTGGCCCTTTTGTCACACACAGTGATTGATTTTTTTTTTTGTACGTTTGTTTTGTATTGTAGTGCTATTTTTCAGTTTAGAAATTTTTTCTTTTTTTTTCTTTCATGTTAATCTGAATTCCTTTTTGGCTGTGGTGTTTTGGGCTAAAAAACGTATTTCTTTCTTTTTTCTTTTTAATAAGGAAATTTTAAATGCGCAGCACACGCTCCATATTATATATTATAGTAAAAACCCAAAGGTTGCCGGAAGCTCGCAGGGCTGCGATAAGGCCCCTTTTGTTTTAAATGTTTTTTTTTTATGTATAGTATTTGTATCCATTTATGGTTGCAATAAAGAGTACCTATCTATCCCTTATCTTAAGTTTTGGACCTTTTTATCCTAAATTAGACCAAGCCTGTTATTATCACCAGATTGATGAAAAAATTTAAATTTACTAAATACATACAAATTTTTTCTTTAAATAGAAAACTTTCCCCATTAGGAAATTTTTATCCTGTGCGCGGGGGACTTTACAAAGATCATGGAACGGACACAAACAACACCCCCGACTAGAATACAAATTTGTGGACACACAAAGTGTCGTCCCAGGGGATTGGACAACAAAAACTCAGCGTAGTAGTAAGCGGGGTAGGTGACCCCTTGCTTAAACCATCCCCCATCCGTGCAAGGCCTACATTTATAGAAAACCAGCTGACCCCGCAAACGTTTTTTTTGCTATTACATAATTTTTTTTTTTTTAATTTTTTAAAAAACCGTTCTTAGCTGACCTCTATCGGGGAAAAGAATATTTCCCACCCAAAATTTCAAGTCTTTTGCTCAATGGGGCCAAGATATCGTGGTGAGTGATTATAGTGGAAAAAACTCTTATATTAATTAGAAGATTATACCCAGAAGAAATGTCAAACCCCCTTTCATGGAGAGGGGCCTATGCCCCAGCAGTGGGCATCATAGGCTGTTGATGTGTGATGTGATGTGAAATGATCATGCACCCATGACCTCTAACTTAGCAAACAGAATCAATAACCGCTAACTCAACAGGTCAGTCAAAATCTCACCTGGAAGCGAGTTGTTTATAATGCGAGTAGACTTGTTCGGACAACTTGTAGACAAACTGGTCGAAACACAAGTTGACTTCAGCCTCGACTTCGTCGTACAAGAACTGTTTCTTGAAACAGTGAGAGCGTATTGCGCCGAGTCGTTGTACAAATCCAGCGGGTATAAGACGTACCTGTTGAAGAGGAATATTTGTTAGGACACCATTTTCATTTCTTTATTAACAGGGCCAGGATAAATATGTAAATATATATTATTTGAATTGCCACGATTTTCGTTCTGGAATTTATTCTCTACAGCAATTGTCGTATTTGGATAGTCATCAATCATCAACAGCCTTTAACAGTCCACTGCTGGACATAAGCCACGCTGGCCAGACGGGTTGGTATAGGGTTTGTGTCAAGTTTTCCTTCTCTCTGCAGTGCTGTTGTTCTGCGTAATTTTTTCCCTTATTCGTCTCTTACGACACACATGGGATGAATAGGGGTGGTGACACTCTGTATTCTTAATCCGTCACCACACCAGTTCTATGGTTGGTGGTACGTTTTCTTTAAATTACTTTAATTAATTTAAAAAAATACAAATATGAATTGAATTCTGACGTTACAAAACATAACAAAAATAAAAACGAATGATTATTTTTTTGTTCCTCCTTTCCCACTTACCTACGTCCTCCTAGGCACTTTGATGGGAAAGCTGGCCTCCCCATCCTTCTTTCCACGAAGAGCTGGATCCTGCTGGGGCTCACAGCCTCGCGCCCAGTCACCGCATGTCTCACGGACTGACACTACAATACTAGAAAATAACAAAAACTAGTTTGCAAACTTAGATACATTTAAATGGTTAGCGAATAGATTGCAAACCACAAATGTGATTTGGCTTTGAGTGTCCCTTCCCTCAGAATAATGGGGGCAAAGGGTAGGGGCCTCCAGTCAAACTACACGAGAGGGTCTTTTAACGTTCCCCCATAAAACTCTTCCTTTTGAGGATACAAGGGTGGTTGTAGGAAATAAATGAAATAAGGTTCCCTTTTCTTATAAGATCCTTTTTGTTTTTAAATGGCCTTCCGAAGGGGTTTCCCCTCGGGCGGCTGAAAAAAGCCCTGGGCTCCGCATATATGGACCTCCAAAGCACATCACGAACACCGTCTCCTTCACCCATGAGAACTTGCGGGCCCTTGTTTCATGGCTATGACTTCAATCATGGCAAATTTTTTTTCTTCAATTAAAATTTTAACATTTCCCTAAAGAAAAATAGTTTTAAAAAGGGTAAAAAAATATCCTTTCCCAAAAGGGTAAATAAACGGTATTTTTCTAGTACGTAAGGTTTTTTAAATTAACTTTCTAAATACTGTTGGTTTTCATTATATATAGTATATTTTTTGGGTTGGGAAAAGTATCCCATATATATGTTTGTATAGGTATGTTTTAATGTATTTTAATATATATAAAATTTTTTATTTTATTGTGAAATTATGTTTTATCTATATGTATGGGACAAATCCCCCCCCACACGCCCACCACTGTAACTCCTGTACACCGGGAAATCCACGCATTTCCCCCCAAAACCACCGAGTTATAAACACTCGGGAAGTCCCGGGAAAGAAATTAAACTGCCCTTTGGGAAACCCGGGGGCCCCCCCCAAAATTAATCAGAAAAAAAATTTGGAGAGTTGGAATACGTAAACCCCTTTCCCCTCCTTGGGCAAGCGGGAGACAAATAAAGAAAAATGGGAAATACCCCCTTTTTAAACGGGGAAAGCCCAAACGGCCACAAATTTTACGGTCCTACGTGGCTATGTTTTGATTTCTATAATATGTATGGCAGAATCGCCAAACCCAGGGAAAATTCCACCCTATTTTGCAAAAGATCCCCTATTTAAACACCCCCAGATGTCACCTCCCAAGCTATTCAGAAATTATATTCGTTCATTTCCCAAAGACTACTTTCCCCAGGATATAAAGGAGCAGACTGTTCATAGGGAGTTGGGTTTGTTGAGCATTGACACAAGGGGAAACTCGACAAATTTAAATAAATAAAGCTTGCTCTTAAATTTTCCCATGCCCGGGAAAGAAATTAAAGCCCCCAAAAGTAAATCTCCCTAAACCCCATATCCTCGAAAACCTTTTCGCGAACAGATGGAAAAAATTTGGAAAAATTTTGGCGCCCCTTGGGAAATGTTTCATCCCGGTTTTTTCCATTCGTCTATGAGGTCATTATAGACTGGGGCCCTGCTTTTTGAAGCTTTTTAAATTTAAAAACCGCGACCCCCGCGCCCCCAAAAAAACGCTTTTCCTGTTTTGTTGTTTTGGGAATGTACAGGGCTGCCGCCTCTGCCCTGAGATGGGCCCGGAAAGGCCCAACCCCCCAAACAGGGGGGAAAAAGCCTCGGCAAACCGTCCTATATCCTTTACACAAGAATATCAGTGAAAATTTTTTTTGGGCCCTTTTTGAAACAGTTGCAAAAAAGGGACGCCCCCACGGTCGCCCTTTTGGGCCCCATACGGTTTCACCATACCCACTAGAACCTAAAAAATTACTCCGTAATGATCTTTAAGGGTTTTAAAATAAATAACCCCAGTCGAAGGGGGGGGGGGGTTTTTTGATACCCTTTGTAAATGCCAAAACTCTTTTTGACTTTTCATTCTTTTTAAAATAATTTTTTCGATAAATGAAAAGTTTCTTTCTAAACTAACCCCTGATAACAACTGTAGTTTTTTTTTTTTACAGTAACATTGTAAAATCAAATCCCGGGCGGTGTTTTGGGAGGTTCCCTTTTTAAAAGAAACCTAAAGGGTTTTTTGGGGGTTGCAAAAGTTAAGCAATTACTTTTTCACCCCATTGGGGATACCCAAGTTAAAACATCTTTGGCAATCTCTCAAGCCCCCCCCTATTATCTAGTTCCACCAGTATAACCGTAAATCGCATAACGCTTTCGAGAAAACCCCCGGATGGAAATTGGGTTTATCCCCAAGAAATCGCCCCGAAGCCGATTTTCCACAAGTAGGGGCCCCTTCACCGCCCCTGAGGACATCCCTTTTGTAAGCCCCTTTCCCGACACAGAATGATGACCAAGCCCTTAGTTTAGTTGTACCTAGTGAAATACAAAGATAAGGGAATAAATTTTTAAAGCCCCCCTTGTTTTAAAAATTTTCAGAAAACAGCAGGGGCCACCATGCGTTGTGGGAAGGGCCAGATATACCCTAAAAAAACCACACTTTATTAAAATTTTTGACTCTGTAAACAAACTTTCTAACCGATATAACACGTCAGTTGTCGTTTTAAACCCAACGAAAATTTCCAAATTTTCCCTATCATAAAATTTGATTCCCCCTGGAAAGAACCGGGCACTACAAGACGTTCAAAAAGTTTTCCCCAAACCCGATGGTAAAGTGATTGGTGGAAAGGATTTAGGTCACCGGGTGGCTTGTCGCCACTTTTTGGTATTATACGAATTTTACCGCACCCCCGATACGAGGAAATTTCCTTCAGCAATGCAACTTTTAAAAGACATGAAAATCGGGGGGCCCACCCGAAAGTTTACAAGCTTCTTTTTTCATTTTGTTAGTTTTTTTATCATCGCCCGAAGCCTTGTTTAGGGGCCCGGATCTAATGATCCGAAAATTCGCCCTAAAGAGGGAAAATCAGACATTGGGACAGTTTTTGGTTCGAGGGCCCACTCCCTGATCTGCCCGTGATGATCATGTCTTTTTTCCGGGTTCGATCGTCAGGTACGATTTGAGTCTAAAAAAAATTTCTGCTGTTTGTTCTACTCCTGGGGTATACCCTGTTATTAATTTTGTTTGTTCTGTATGTATGAAAGGCCCGTTGATCTTTTTGGGCCTTTAAATTCGTGAAACAAAGGTCCCACGGGCCCTCTCAAAAATCGATTTCTAAACAAGTTTTCTAAATTAATTTCCCTTGGATTTTTCCACAGCAGCTCTGTAGGGGGAACCTGGCAACTCTAAGAGAAATGGAGCATTGTTGTACAAATCTCCTGTTTCGTTATTTTTTTTTAATTGGGGGTTTAAATTTTTCTACGGTTTTCCCGGGTAGTTTCTACGTAGTTGGGCAATTTTCCCTTTCCCCAAACAAAATCTACGAGTTTTTAGTGATGTCCGCGACCCAAAATTTTCATCAGGGGCAGTATGTAAAAGTTTCTGATATATTTTTGCGCTTTCCTCGCCCGATAAACACTGCGACTGAATTTTTTGGTATTTAGTTGCAAAAAAAGTGAACCAAACAAGCCCAAATTTCCCCACCCTTTTGGGTTTTTTTTTTAAAAAATTTTAGGGACCCTTTTTGGACCTTGCAACCCTTTTTGGAAAATTTGTACACGATCAAAAAAAAAGGTGATCACTACAGGATGCGTCCGGAAGGGCACGCCCCCCGATTTTCGGGACGGGCGCCCGCGTAAGCGTCCCCGTCATAGAAACTCACCCATTGGGTTGCAAAAGTTTTGGGGGTGCATCGGGGGTAAATTTTGAAAATAAGATTCATTTCCGCAATGAAAACTTCAACCGAAAAACGTCGAAAACCCTGTCGGTTTTAAAAGCAAATTGCCATACCATAAGAAGATGACGCATTGAAAATCAGCCAAAGATAATTTTAAAGTCCCCCCGAGGAAAATGCAAAACGTAACGTAAGTGATGTAGTGAGGATCAATAGGATGGAAAATTTTAAAAAAGCAGCTCACTCGTAAACCTTTCAGGGAGAGGAAAGAGATCTCAGCAACGGCCGGAGGGGGTGACGCCCCTAAATTACGCAAAGAAAGTTTTTCCGTAAAAAACGAACTTTTTCACCCTTTCCCAGCCTGCGAACGGGAGCAAGCTGTTTCTACATTACGACGGGAATTTAGCGCTCTGATTTTGTTTTTTGTAAAAAGGGCAATGTCTAACTTTTGTTCAAAATTAAACGGTCCCAATTCTGATGTGCTTTTTTTAAACGTTATGAAGATTTAAATTGGGGCCCATCGAAAAACTATTCATTTCTTTTGTAAATTACTCTTTAAAAATTTTTTTTTTTTTTTTTTTTTAAACAAGTTAAACTATTCAGTAATTGGTATTTAATATTAGCTGTTCCAGTTTTAATTTGTATGTGGCCCAGTCGTATTACCCCTCGGGTGGTCAGTGGTTTTTTGAACCGCTTACATGTGCGCAAAGTGGGCTTAAAAACTGGTGTGTCCCTTTTTCTTTGGAAAAAGCTCCGTTTTGTGTGCGGGGGCGCAAATTTGCACAAAAGGGGTTTTAAAAAGTCAAAAATTTTGTAATGACCGAATTGCGGGCAATTTTTAAGGCAACGAAAATAATTTAAAATCGCTATGAATCTACTGTGGCCCAGTCTATATAAAGTTTATTTTTTTGTTTTTGGGTTTGATTTTTCCCAAAATGCTGCCTCTAAAATTTTTAAGCCTATCCATTGACGCCCCTTTTCTAGTTTTCGATGCCTAACAATTTTGGGGTTGGGCTTAATAAAATCATTCCACTTTAATTTTTAATTTGGCCTTTATTTCTGAAAGGTATAACGCTGTTTTTGGGAAAGGGACGATCTTCCTAGAACCGGGTACGTCTTTTACAAAACGGGGCCTACGGCCTTTCCGGGTTTTTTAAAACGCAACCCTATGATTTTAAAGGCTCCACAGATTCCTTTTTTTAAAGCTGCCGTTCGTTAGCTACAAAAACACGCCCCCCTGCCCTTTAAAAGGTTTTTTTTAACGCCTACAATTTTTAAAAACCCCTCGCTCGGGTTTTTTAAAAGCCTTCATGAAGCTTGTTTTTGTTGCTGACGAGGTCGCATGTCCCCCTAAGCGTTTTCCCTATGGGATAGGCAAAAACACAAGGCCTAGGAACGCGGGCTTCAGGGAGGCCGGGGACGGGGCAGATTTAGGGGGTAATGAAGCTTAAGTTTGTCCCGGGAAAGTTAAAATCGTTTTTGTTGAGTTGCGAAAACCCTCCCTTTGTCGCTCAAAAATTCCCCAACTTCGTTTTGTTTTCTAGAAGGGGTTTTATTGCTAAAAAAGATCCCATACCGGGAATTCGTTTGAAATAAATCCATAATTGCCTTTTTAATTACCTACATTTCGGGCCGAGTCCCCCGTCATTAACTAATTTATTGTTTTTGGGCCAAATCTCGGGAGCCTGTGGGGGGAAATAACTCGCAGTAATTTTATTTCCCCCCCAGTTATCAAGGGCCGTTAAAAAGACGAAACATTTCCCCCTTTTAAAACCGAATTATTTAAATTTGTTTACTTCTATTGTCTTTCGGCGAGAAAACCGTAGGGGACTTTCCCTTAAATGTTTCCTTTTTCCCGGGTTTGGGGTTTTGAATTCACTTGTTTCCCCCCGGGTCCGGCAACTCGCTTTCCCCCACATAGCCAAAAAAAAGAACCCCCAAAAAACAATTTCAAAAGGAACAAATTTAAAAAAAAAACAATACGCAGAGAAAAATCAAAATAAACAAAGGAAAACTCCCTTTCCCACTTTTAGAAAAAAAAATAAATTTTCCCCAAAAATATCCCTAATAAAATAATTTTTAGCCCCCAATTTTTTGGTTTTAAAAAAAAATAAAAAATTTCTGAATTTTTTAAAAAAACCCATACACAAAACCCTTTTGCCGCCCGCAAACCGGGAACTAAATCGCAGAAAAACCAGAAAAAAATATTTAAATTGTTAGCATAAAGAAAATCACACGTTATCGCACGTTTCCGCGAAGGGAAGTGAATCTCTGCTTGTCGTAAAAAGCCACTAAGAAGCAACTCTGCAATAAAACAGCACTCAAAGGAAGGGAAAAAATTTAAACAAACCCTATATCCAACCCCCTCCCGGGGCCCTGTTGGGAAAAGTGGCCCAAAAACCCTTTCTAAGAAGAGGCCCAGTGCGCAGTGGACTATCAAAAATACGCAAAGGTTTTCCCAACAGACAGAGCCTGTACTATGGGAGCCAGACTGCGATAAAAATAATTTTCAATTGAAAGTGAGTTTTTTTGTGTTTTTTAAAGCCTACACGCTTAAACCAAAAAACCGTTTAAAAAATCTTTAGTAATGGAAAATTAAAGTCATCGCGAGTTATATAGACTACTTTTTTTCCCCGATAACCCCACCATCTCTTTTACTCTTACCGTTTTGAATTTTTCCGAAGCATCCTTAACATATCCCTGATCTTTTTTCTGGGGGGCCAAAAACATGGATAGGTTCGCACTTTTTTGCAGGCCCCTGGCTGTCCGAAAATCACCTTGAGGAACTGGGGGACTCTGTAACAATAATACTCGTTTAAAAACCCAGGTGAAGGGGCCAGGCTTGCCAGGGTCTGAAAAATTCCCGCATTTTTTAATTTCCTCCATCCTCCCCAAAATTTAATAAAAAAAATTTTTTTCATTAATTTTTTTAAAAAAAATTAAACAATTTCGTTTCAAAAAGGGGTCAGGGGGTCATGGGTATCACTATTTTTTTTCTTTTTTTTTTTTTGAAAAAAAAAACCCCCCATTAGGAAAATATCCTGTGTCGCGGGGGAAACTTACAAAAATACATGAAAA